GAGAGAGAGAGAGAGGAGGGGGGATGGGGGAGAGAAAGGGGGAGGCACCTTCAGGGCCGCCCTGGGACTGCGGCCTGCAGGCTCCAGGCAGCCAGAGGACACGGGAAGGAGGCAGGACTGTCCAAATCAGAGCAGAGGGGGGCCCTGCGCCCACAGCGGAGTTGGGGGGCTGGTGGGTGGTCCACTCGTTCACAGAGCCCCCCCCTCCTAAGACACACACACACACACACCCCCGAGCCATTTCTGCGCCCTGCCTGGCCTGGGCAGTGCCTGTCTGTCTGCAGGCATCCCTCTGCTCCACGGGTGGCGACTCCTGGGTGTCACCCTGAGCGAGGCTGTTGCCTGCCCCAGGCCGGGAGGGGACATGACAAGTGGGCCCAGCCAGCCACACAGGGTGCCCTCACCCAGGCAGGGTGGGTGGACGGTACCAGCCGTTGCTTGGGCCCTGCAGACAGCGGTGTGTGGTCAGCGGCCGGGCCGGCAGAAACAGGGCTGCCCGCAGGCCAGGCTGAGTCTGCAGTGACCCTCTGGCCCGCAGAGGGCGCAGGGGCACCAGCCCATTCTCAGGGGAGGGTCCACAGTGTTCAGTGGCTTCTGCAAGTTCAGACCCCGGGACCTGGCCGAGAGAAAGGTCACTGTGGGGGCTGGGCTGGAACCATGTCCTCCAGGGATCCCCCTCTCCTCCAACACTGGGGGCCAGGCCGCGGTGAGAGTGAGGGGACAGGGTCCATGGGCCACGGGGAGGGGCGGGGTGTGACGAAAGGAGGGAGCTCCCCTGCAGGCGGCCACACCATCTGGTTGAGTCCCACCTGACCTGAGCTCTCCGGGCCAGAACCCGGGCTCCCAGGGTTGAGGGCTGCAGCCGGGAGCCCAGCTGTAGAGGTTTTGAAAACAAAAACCAAGCCAGGTGTCCCCGCTCAGAGCCCCCGGCCCACCTGAGAGGGGCAGGTTCTCCCAGATCCAATCCCAGGCCCAGGGAAGGCTGTGCCGGCCCCTCCCGGGTCAGTGCCCCTCCCAGAGGCAGTCGCAGGGGGGCAGGGGTCTGTGCCGGGAATTCCCTGACTCCCTGGGTTAGCAATGTCCTTGGCAGGCCCTCGGGAGCCAAAAGGAGCAATAGCAGAAGGATTCCCAAGACAGGCCAGAAGCAGGGGTGGGGATCTGTGTGCCCGCCGCCCCAGGTCCCCGCCTCGGGCAGTGGGGTGCAGGGCTCCGGCAGCTCCTCACCCACGGACGCCGTGGAACGACGCCCCTCCTCTCCCCAGGGCTTCCTGTGCTTCGCGCTGGTCTTCTGTGTCCTGGTGCAGGTGGCCTTCTGGCGACTCCACAACCCCACCCAGGTGAGCACCCACCCTGCCCCATCCCGAAGCAGAGGGTCCCATGCTCCCTCCCAGCCACCTGTCGCTAGTGGAGAGATGGGCAGGTATTTGGGGATCACCGTGGGGACATCCTCTGCCTGGGGGTGGGGTGGGGGCGCAGGGACCAGAGGGCTGGGAGGCAGGTACAGGCCTCGGCTCCTCCCCCCCAACGAAAGCCCCTCATTCCTGCCCCCTCCTGGCCCGGGAAGATCGCTCCTGGGAGTTGGGGGGGAGGTGAGGAACGGGGGGAGGGAGGGAGTCAGTGTTCCCGAAGATGCACTGAGGGGTCTGCACTCCTGCTGAGGGCCCAGCCGGCAGGGAGGTGCTTTGGTGGGGGGCTGCCCGGAGGACAGGGTGGACAGCGTGTCCAGGCCTCACCCACAGGACCCCGACCTGCCTGGAGACAGGGCTGCCAGGTGACGGGGGGCAGAGTGTCCTACCGGTTCCATTTTCAGTGTGGGCTCTTCCCCAGCAACATTCGTGTCTGGGCTGGTGGCACCCAGGGTAATGGTGGGGGCAGGTCCCTGCAGGGCAGGTGGTCCAGCCATCTGTGCACTCACCTACCTATGACCAGATCAGAAAAAGGACACTTCCCCTGGCTTTCGGAGGGGCTGGGAACCCCCCAAGGCGGCCATGGCTCTCGGCTGGGGCAGGCCTCTCCACGTGGCAGGCAGCAGCCGTGCCTGGGCCAGCAGAGCATTTCGGCATTTTGGCATTTCCGCATTTTGGCTTCACATTACCCATCCCCCCAGCAGTGGTCTGGGTTAGAGTGGGTGGTCCTGCTCAAGACAGCTGCCAGGGTGCCCTCCTGGGGTGCTACAGACCCCCCATCCTTTCCTCCCTGACACTGTGTATACAAGGGATGGGGCCACAGGCCACGGTCCAGCTCTGGCTCGGGCTCAGGGCAGGGAAGGAGTGAGAGCTGATGGCTCTCAGCTGGGCCTCTTCTCTGTCCCATCCCCTTGGTCCAGCCCGTGCTCTGACCAGCCCTCAGCGTCACTCCTTGAGGCCCTGCTTGACCCCTGGCCCTGGTTTGATGGACGCCATCTGCCTTCCGGCAGCCTTGTGCCTGCCCAGGCCCACTCGGGCACGAGGCGGCTGGGTGAAGGAGCCTGGCATCAGAGGCCGGGCTCAGCCTCCCCTCGGGCGCTCTGGGCAGCCTGTTCTGTTACCTGCCCATTCCCTCTGCTGTAAGAGCAGCTCGGAGACCCCCGAGGGCACTGCCGCACAGCGGGGTGAACCAGGGCATGCCGAGGGCTTGGTGAGGCCACCGGCACCCGGAGCCCAGGCCCATCCTCCATCGCCTGGGACTGTGGTGTTTGGTGCCAAGGCCTGGTCAGGCTGACCTCAATCCTGTGCCCCCTTCCCCAGGGACATGGGCAGGCACCTTGGTCTCGGGGACAACCCAGACCAAACAGACCCCAGCCAGGCTCCCTTGCCCTACAGGGTCCTATGAACAGGGACACTATCTGCTTCTGGGGTCCAGATCCTGGAGCCCCCAGCTAGGTCCACTCACCCGCATCCTCCCCCATCCCGTGCCTCCCCCCAGGGACCCCTAAAGTCTCTTGAAACAGGGTCAGGACGGCTCATCCAGGGCCACCCTACAGATAGGAAACCTGACTCCAGAGGAGGGCAGGGATGGCCACATCTTCCTTTGGCCCAGAAGCCAGGCTGCAGCCCCTGGCGGGGTGTGGGGAAGGAGCCTTGGCAGGCTCCCTGAAGCTGGCGAGGGCCAGCAGCGTGGGGACCGGGTGGTTGTGCAATGAATGCAGAGCGACCCAACGGTTCATGACGCACTAGTCCCAGCCTGAGAGCCACTGCCACAGCTCTCCCGTCCCCCAGACGGGTGAGGCGGAAATGAATCACCTGGCTCCGCTTAATAATTCATTTGAGGATTAAGTACATCAGCAAGGAGACGGCTGAAGGGCCGCTGTCCTCGCAGCTCCCAGCAGCCCAGGCTCCCACCCCCACCCTGCCCTCCAGGCCACTCCTCCCTGATTATCTGGCCACGGCGTGGGCTCCAGTCAGAGCTGACTGCTGGGCCCATGGGCTGGTCTGCAGAGCCACCCGCAGCCCCGACAGGCCACCCCCGGAGCCACTCACGCAGGTTTAGCAGACAGTGGGGGTAGAGGCGTAGCCCAGAGTCCCCGAGCCCGGGCCGAGGGCCCAGAAGGTGGGGGGCGTGGGCTCCCCTGGCACCTGGTTTGTACAAGTATCTGAGAGGCACCCCATCCTGAGGGGCACCCCCTGGAGCTCTGGAAGATGGGCTTAAAGAGTGAGGTGCCCTGGCAGGCATCACCCAGCTGTCAGGACCCGGCAGCCCCCAGCACCCCCTGAATGTGGTGATGGGGTCAGACGGGGGGGGCACCAGCTAGACACCCGGGTCTGCAGGGAGAGTCCAGCCTGGCCCCCACTGCCAGGCCCAGGGCCTTGGGCAGGGGATGTGGCTTAGCCAGATCTGCGTCGTGACCCCTGCTTCTGGGGTCATGGGAATGGATGCTGGCAGCCCAGCCAGTGTCATCCCTCCTGATGACATGACAATGATAACAGTTTGCCCTGGAAGGACCTGGCCCTAGTGGGGGAGTCGAGGAGTTGGGGGGGGGGATGGAACCAGGAGGGGTTGTCCGAGCTGGCCTCTTTGTCACAGCCACCCCGCTGATCCCAGGCCGGCTCCGCCAGGGCCCCAGTCGGCACCAGGACCTCCTCCCACGAGGACACAGTGGCCTGGCAGGTCCCCACCCTCATTTCACTGGAGGAGACAGGCCGAGACAGGGCCCCTAGCCAGCCGCCCAGCCCAGGGTGCTGCCCCCTCCCAACGGGGGGAAAGGAAGCGGCTGGCCGAGGCTGGGGTGACGTGCGGAGCAGTGTCTCAACAGCGACGGTTAATTAACGCCAGCAGTGGCATTTGGGACGGAAGTCCATCTGGTTCCTACGGGGGCCCAGGGGCTTCGGGAAAGGCTGGTCACGACAGCCCCCACTGCCCGCCTGCTGGCTGCCCCAGTCCTCCAGGGTGCAGGTGGGGTGGCTGCCCTTCCTTTCCAGAGGACGGGTGTTAGTGGCCAGAGCAGGCATGGGTCCCCCATTCACCCCCAGCCCTTTGGGGCATCCCTGAGCACCCCTTAGCATGTCCCAGCTGTCAGCGTGGCGTGGGGGTGTGAAGGGAGGTGATGGAGGGCTCAGGGTCTCTGAGGTGGGAAAGGAGGCATCAGAGGGCAGGGAAATTCAAAGAGGCCTTGCCTGTGCCAGAGCAATCATGGAAGTCTTCTGGGAGGAGGCGAGATTCCAGTTTGAAGGAATAACTTGGCAAGAGGAGGGCATTCAGTTTTGGGGGGCAGCATGGGGAAAGGCACAGAAGGGGATGTTTAGGTGGGCAGAGGCAACGGGGTCTGGGTGATGTTAGGGTGCGGGTGGAGGCAGAGCCCCGCCAGGCCTGTGGCTCTATACCCTCCTGGGTCTGCCAGAGGGGCCTGTTGGCCCGCAGCTGGCCCAGGGGAGGAGGCTCTGCCCGCAGGGAGCTCCACCTGGCAGGCGAGGCGGGGCCCTGGACGTCCCTCAGCAGCTTGGGCCAGGCCCGGCCTCAGGGAGGGGCTTCATGGGGACCCTCCCGGGGCAGGTGGAGGATGCCATGTTGGATACCTACGATCTGGTGTATGACCGGGCGCTGAGGAGCCCGTCCAGCGCACGGCGGCAGGAGCTGGTGGCCGTCCAGGACACGGTGAGCGTGGAGGGCAGCTCTGGGCCAGTCTGCCTCCCCATGTGGACTGCGGTCCAGAAAATGGGCTCAGGGTGGCCCCAAGTCAGCCGGCCTGGGCCAGGTGCTGAGCAGGGGGTCCCGGGACAGCGATGCCCCAGGGACAAGAGCTCAGCCCTCCTCCCTCTGCCCTGGATGGGGCTGTTACCGAATTTGTGGGGTCCAGAGCAAAATAAAAGGCCATTGTCCAAAAAATTATTAAGAATTGCAAGCCGCTAAGGGCACAGCATTAAGCAGGGCCCTTTGAGTGTGGGGCTGCAGGCCGTGAGGCTGGCCCTGCCCCTGGTGTGTGATCCCCCGGACAGGCAGGTGGCACTAGGGCACCTCCTTTTCCACTGGGTGTGCGAGGGGGGGCAGGCTGCCCAGCGCCAGGTGCCCCCAAAAGAGACAGGCACATCACCCTAGCCCCGGTCCTGGTCTCTCAGGAGCCCCCAGCTCTGCTNATCACCCTAGCCCCAGTCCTGGTCTCTCAGGAGCCCCCAGCTCTGCTGGACCCTGCCAAGTCATTTGGTCTCTTTTTGCCTCAGTTTCCCCATCTGTCACACAGGGCTCCTGGGGTTTTGAGAGCCAGGTGCCCCCCTCTGTCTGTCCTTGCAGTTCCTGTGCTGTGGGAAGACCTCTCCTTCCAGCCTCCTGGGCAGTGTGGAGGCTGACCTGTGTCGGGGAGAGGCGGCTGCCACCCAGGTGAGGGGAGGGGCCCGACGCTGGAGACTCAGCCCCAGACCAGGGCATCTGCCACCTCTTGGCCTCCCCCAGACCCTGGGGGACCTGCCCACTGCAGAGCTTGGGGAAGGCAGCCGGGGACAGCTGCCCAGTGAGAGGAGGCAGCGGGGAGGGGTGGCCGGGCCAGGTTAGCCTGACCCCAGCCCAGCCCAGGCCCTCCTCCGGGCTGGACGCTGGCCGCATCCTCCACGCACTCCCTCATTCCTTAGGCTCCCCGGGGCCAGGCGCAGGGCCAGGCGCTGAGACCCCACCCTCGGAAGCCTCTAGAAGCTCAGGGTTTGGGGGTGATCAGGGCTGAGGGCTGCAGAGCAGAGGCGATCNTGGGTTAGCCTGACCCCAGCCCAGCCCAGGCCCTCCTCCGGGCTGGACGCAGGCCGCATCCTCCACGCACTCCCTCATTCCTTAGGCTCCCCGGGGCCAGGCGCAGGGCCAGGCGCTGAGACCCCACCCTCGGAAGCCTCTAGAAGCTCAGGGTTTGGGGGTGATCAGGGCTGAGGGCTGCAGAGCAGAGGCGATCAGCTCCGCCTGGGGGGACAGCAGGCATCCTGAGGGCCCCCGGAGGAGCAGGTGGGGGACCCACAGAGGAAGCACGCCTGCGGGAGGGCCAGCCTACGCCAGTCTGGCCGCAGAGACCAGAGGCAGGAAGCCCCTTCTTCCCAAGGCCTAGAGAGGGGCTTGGCACCCTCGCTCCTGCTGCCCCCACGGCCTCCCCAGCCCCCCCCACTGTCCGGGAAACAAACCCTCCCTATCTCTTGGGCTCCTGGCCGCCCTCCAGGAAACCGGCAGGAGGGGGGCTGAAAGTTGGGGAGGCTGGTTCATGCCACCCAGGGAAAGGCCTCAGGCCCCATCTGCACAGCGGGGTGACGGCCTGCCTTCTCCAAGCACCCCCCGGGCAGCCTGCACAGGCCTCCGGGTGGGGATGCGGGGCCAACAGGAGAGCGGACACGGGGCGCTGGGCCCACNAGCGGGCACGGGGCGCTGGGCCCACTCTCCTGCAGAGCTGCCCAGGTGGGGTGGGGGGCAGGCAGGCAGGTGTGGTGTCCTGGACAGTGATCTGTCCAGGGCTGTCTCCAAGAGGGAGCGGGACCACACGGAGAGACCAGGCTGATTAGGGCCCGTTTTCCTGAGGGGCACCGTGCTGTAGGGCTGCGCCCAGGATCCTTGGGCTGTTCTCTGGGACAAACCTGGGTGCCCGCAGCCTCCCGGGAACCGGAGATCCGGACCTCCAGGGCAGCCAAAGTCGCCTCTGACCCCAAGTGTGAGCAGGGCTGGGCTCTGGCCTGGCGAGTGGCGGGCACAGCGGGGAGGCCCCGTCGAGTGGACACGTGGGCAGATGGAAAGACAAACAGCCACCAGGCTAGGCTCTCTCCCTCATCTGGCCTTCAGAGCCATACCTAACCCATCCTGCTGTGCGGCCCCCCAGCCCGGCCCCAAATGCCAACGAAACATACCATCCGAGTGGTTCAGAGACAGGCATCACCCCCTTTCCTAGAGAGAACGCTTCTGTGGGTGCCAAGCCCTGGGGGGCACTGGAAACCTGGCATGGAGCCTGGCCCTGGGATAGCCCAGCACCCCCACACCCCTCCGCTGGCTGTTTCTCTGCCCTCCCTGTTGGGAAGCTCCGTCTCCTCAACCAGGCGCTGGGCTTGGCCCTGGGCTGGTGCTGGGGCCCCAGACTGACACCCTTCCTGGGGGAGCCAGACCATGACCCACACAGGAGCTCAGGGAGGCCCAGAGGAAGGTGCCTGCTGCCCCCCTGGGTCCCACAGGGCCCTGCTCCCTTCTGCTAGTGGGCAGTGCCCCTCCCAGAGCCCCGGGTGGCTGTTCTGGGATGTCACACCCAACTGCCCCCTGCCCTGGCCTCTGGCCACTGTGGGCACTGCTGCCCTCTGCCCAGGACTGCCTGCAGGGCATCAGGCGTTTCCTGAGGACACACGGACACATCGCCTCCATCCTGACCAGCGCCTGCCTCGCCTCCATGGTACCCGCCCCCCCACTGCCCCTGCTAGCACCCCAGCTGGAAGGGCCCGGCTGACCCCAGGGAGGTGGCTGGGGGTGGCGGTGCCTCTCTTCTGTCCCTACACAGCTGGGACCCTGAGGAACTGGCCACTTCCTGGGAGGCGGGGAGCCTGCCGGGGCAGCTCGTGCAGGGGCCGCCCCCCCAGGTGTACGCGATGCTGCTCAGCTCCTTCCTGTGGTTCACCATCCGCTCCGGCCGCAGCCTGGACCGTAAAGGGACATACGCCCTGAGCCCCCGGTAGGTCCCACCTGCCCCGCGCCCAGCGTGGGACCCCCCAACCAAGGGCAAGGCTGCTGTTCTAGAAGACCCCTGGCCACACAGAGGGCGGGGCAGCTGGGAAGCTGCCCCTGGCTGCTGGTGCAGGGAGCCCCTCCCAGCTGGCCCCAGCCCCCACCACGAGCTGACCTCGCAAGAGCCAGGGCCACCGGCCCCAAGAGAGGGGCGCTCCCAGGCCCCCAAACTACAGCCCCGGCCAGGACCTGTCATCTTGGGGGACCTCAGGGCTCCCTATGCACAGGGCGCAGGGAGGCCCAGGTCCAGCAGCCA